TGATGTTGACATTATAGTGTTGGGCCAACCGGGACTAAATTGATGTGTTCAATTTGTAGTCTAATGACATCATCAAAAATCGGGAACACTACAACAAAAATGAATTACAACCACACCCTGGGGTATCTTTTAACCCAATCTTACTGAAAGAACATAATTTTGTGGTTTGAGCTAGGCATCATTTTGTATAAGTGGTAATGTCATTTTTTGCAGTGATTGTGTTTAAACTTGTACTGTGTGCTGCCACAGATGTGTGTGCGGCCTCACACAGTGTGTGCGGTTGCACTCATGTGTTCGGCAGCACACTCTTGTGCTGGTAGGAGTACTATTTATAGCAACTTAGTTGTGTCGGTTTGTACTTGTTGCTTTGTGTCAGAACTCTGCACTAGTTGTATTTTTCTCAAGATGTACTTGACATTTACTGAATATAGATGTGTGCATGCTTGATTTTGGTTCTTCTTCTTCTACATCTCTCCTTTATTACAATCAACTTCACTGATTACTAAATTGGATCATTAGATTTGGGACTTACAATTGGTATCAGAGCTTGGTTGTATCAATCAATTTTGTCAGATTTATAGCTTATTTGATCTTATTTTGAAAAGATAATAGCGTTTTTGGATAGATCTCGCAAAATTAAGGGGGATTACTTCTTTGCATTTTTCATAAAAACGAGGTTTTGATCGAGTTTTAGAGTAAAAAAGGGTGGAAAACGTCATTTTTTTCGCGAATCTGTTGAAGGTGTGCGGCCCGGTTGAAGGTGAGCGACTCGGTGTGTACGGCTCAGTGTGTGCGGCCGTCTCGGTGCATGCGGCTTTGCTCGATGTGTGCGGTCAGCTTACGTGTTCGACGCGTTCATTAAAAAATTAAGGAGAGTATTGGGGCTGCCAAGATTCGAACCCGAGTCCGTTGTTCCAACAACCAAGTGATTTGCCATCTCATCCAACCATTCTTTTGTGACATTCCTTCGGTTTTTTAAAACATAACCTAGTTTTCTCGGTTCCAACTTTTGAATTTTGACATTTTTAACCCCAAAATTTCAAAATTTTATTTTTTAAAATCCTTTTTCAACCCAAAAAATTTTGATTTTAATTTTTGACTTTTGACTTTAAAATTTTGAATTTGACTTTTAAAAGTTGACCTTTGACTTTTAACTTTGATTTTCTCGTTTGACTTTTAATTTTTCAAATTTAACTTTTCGGTTTGACTTTTGTGTTTGACTTTTTAAATTTGACTTTTGAGGTTGACTTTCTCGGTTTTTAAGTCAAACGACAATTAAAAAAATTAAAAATTAAAAAATCAAAAATAAAAAAAATAATAAAAAAATAAAAATGATGAGTTCCACATCAATTTCGGTAAATGAAGTTTCATGTACTCCATCTTGTAAAACTACGATTAAATTTCTTCGCGAACAAATTGATTTGCTAAAAAGGGAAAATGAGGACCTCAAATACGAAGGCTATACTCTTAGGAAAGGACAGAAACTATTAAAAGCTCAATTAGAAACCAAAATCAAGGATTTCCGAAAACTCCAAGAAGATTACAGCAACAAGTGTGAAAATTATGATCACATTAAGAAAAAATTTGTTGCTGTAACTGAAGAACTTGACACTTTGAAAATAAAGTATGGAAAAATAGATGTTAGTTTCAAAAATTATACTGCATCAAGTAAGACAGTCGAGTCCTTAGTAGAAAATCAATTGAGTTTTAAAGATAATCAAACCAAGGGTATAGGGTATCACAGTGTGCCACCTCCTTTTAATCACAATTATAACCCACCCTTTGAGACCAATGAGGAAGAAATGCCTGCTCAGTATGGCCAAACCCCTGCTCTAGATTCAGTTAAGACTGAACAATCAGGGCCAACTGAGGGTGTTGAGCTGAACGATACTAATGCTTCTACTTCATGTGCAGGTAAAGTAGCAGAGGATGAGAACAAGAACACCATTGAACAAACCAACATCTCCTTGAACTCTGAATCGGTTTCTTCGAACTCAACTGCTTCTGATCAACCTGCTGTTGGAAAATACATGCCACCAAGGGCAGGAAGAAACAACTCCACAGTGAAGAAAAAGACATGCTTTCACTGTGGAACACCTTGACATATTGCCAGAAATTATCCTAATCGAGCATACGTTCCCTACTACACACAAGGGTGGTAGAACACGCCAAGAGGGAGATACTTCAAAATAAACCCCTCAAGGTCATGTTCAGACAATGGCGACTGGAATGACACGAAGAGCAAGAGTTCAACTCCCAAGGGCAAGAAATCAAATCCCAAGGTCAAGAAGGGAATGTCGACCAAGAAGCCAAATCCAAGAGATGCTCCCATGAAGTCAAAATCAAAATCATCTCAACAGCCGACATCAAGTTCAAAAGCAAGTACTGAGCCACCCATCAGATCGAAAAAGAAATGAGTTAAACCAAACTACAAATGGGTTCCAAAGGCTCACTCTCACAAATCTTCTAAAGATTCTAATATTTCTACATCTTCTGTTTGTGATAAGCAGGATATGTTATGAGAGAGAGTATCGTGCAAGGATGACAAAGATTTAACCAGTTTCAAAGTGGACTGGGTTCCAAAGACCAACTGATCCCGCTCTGTGCTGGAGCAGCTATGGAGGCATATCATCAGACTTCGGTTTGTTGATAGTGGTTGCTCCAAGCACATGATAGGAGGCATCTCTCAACTGTACAACTCTCAGAACATTGTTTGAGAGTATGTGTCCTTGCGGGAAGGGAAGAAAGGAAGTGGTCACTCATGGGGTTTGTGCTTAACTACAAGAAGAATTTTCGGATCTGTTCTATTATTACGCATGCTGTTCTCAGACCTTCTGGATGCAAATTCAATCGGTGACTTACGGATTGAGTTTTCTTCTCTATACTCCTGAGTTTTTCTTAAGTTGATTCGCTTTAAAGACAAATTTTTGTTTTAGGATAGTTTAAATTTGCGCATTTACTTTCCTTTCTCTCCTATGCACAAATTTAGGGGGAGAAATAAAAACAAAACAAAAATTAGAAAATTAAAAAAATAATAAAAATAAAAAATCAAATTTAAAAAAAAATAATATGTTGCTTATGGAATGTGCTTGAGGGAGATTTTTTGGGAAGTGAGTGATAACTGGCAATCTGAGTTTGCATAACGTACCCAAAGTTGAAGGGTCTATGCTCTGTCTTGATGCGTCGGTAGACACGAAGAATTTAACGGACTTGACTAGGTGCAGATGAACTTAAGGAATCTAGAGACTTGATAAATCTTGACCTAGATAGTTCCATTTATCCTGACAATACGACGCTTGGATATGTTGAGCAGAGAGATATATATGGGAATCTACTCATCACATTAAATGATCCTGTATCTGGAACCGTAGTTTAACTTTTCCTTGATGTGCGGATTCTGTCCTTGATTCTGGTATTGATGGGACGACTGGAAAATTCCGATGAATTAGGTCTGTAGAAAATTATTTTCTTTCTTTCTTATTGTTAGTCATATGTTGCCTCCTCTGCGTGATTGGAAGAGATCCGACCTGGACTGCAACAAATGCAAATCTATTTCTCTGCATATTATATCTATGAAATTCTTCTTATCTGTTAGCCATATGCTGTCTCCTTTGCGTGATTAAAAATCCGACCTGGTATACAGCATATGCAACCTTCTACTTCTCAATCCCTCTAAAACTATAAGTGATAATAATCTGAATCTATATTCTCTCCTAATGATTGTCTGCTCACCCAATGTAAGGAGTACTTTGGAAGTCTTTGATTACTGGGGCATATCAGGAACGGGGAAACATGTTCCAGTACAATTAAAATTGAACACTCAAAGATTGTCTATAGATCTCGCTGCTCAATTTAGGTGGACAACAATATCCCTAGTCGTCGTCAGCTGAATGGTCCTTAAGCTATCGTATCTAGAAACTTAGGATAAGATATAATATCTAGGAACTTAGGATCACATTGTCTTGTCACGTATAGTATATCCTAATTTTGTCACAATTTTTCGTTTTTAAGTGGACAACAATACCGACAATCGACCAGACAAAGATGTGAATATGAAAGGTACCGATAAGCGGATAATGGTTGTCTAAAAACTTTGATCTCTAAACCTCAACAGGTTTAAACAATTTATATAGGTTTAAATTGAATTGTTTATTCCTTGTCAAATTTTTATTCTACTCTATTAAATTTTTTTTTTAAATTTTTTTTTTATTTTTTTTAATAATAAGTTTTAGTTTATTAGGAATTTTGAAATTAATTTCACATTAATCCTCAAAATATTTCATTTTGAGAAAATGGTGAGTGAAAGGTGCATCGGCGTTAATGATTAAAAGATAAGGGGGAGAAGTTGTAAATTCTGTGTATATAAAAAGCGTGTGTGCGGTGAGCCTTTTTCACCATCATTTACTTTTGCCTCAATCGCACACGCACCTATTTCTCTCTCAAACTCCTTGAATATTCCATTAATTTTTGTGAAATCAAAGCATTACTCGGTAATTCTCATGAACACGGCTGATTTTTCGATTATTTTCACAAATTTTTTATACAGTTTGCTGTTGAATCTTCATAAAAAATTTGTTTATCTTCAAGGGTAACCACACACGGTGTGTGCGGCCGCTTACATTCGTGTGTGGCTGACTGTATGTGGCCACATTATTTTATGAATAAGTGTGTGTGGCTGACCATGTACAACTGCACACGTGAGTGTGCGACTGCATGTAACTTCGTGTGCGGCTACATCATTTTCATAGTTTTGCCCTAATAATCTTGTGTGTTGCCTCTCAGATTAAAATGGGAGACAAGGAGTTCGCTAAAGTTCACAATTCCACAATTTTTCTTGAAGACCCCCTGCAACCCATAATGACTTGAAATTCATTGTGGATGGTTTGAAGAAATCATGCTTGGTTCATTGCTTAACTACAAATCCTGCTATCTACCAAAGTTTGATTAAGGATTTCTGGAGAAATGCTGATGTAAAGAAGAATGATCAAGGTGAAAAATTTATGGAAACAACAATCGAAGACAAGAAAATTCTAGTAACAGAAAGCATCATCAGAGAATCTCTTCAAATTGAGGACAGACCTGAGTACCCCATGGAGATTGACGTTCATCAAATTGAGGAAATTTTCGAGCATATGGGATACGAAGGAACTTTTCCTCCTACAATCAAAAATCTGCTTCCTCCATGCTGGAAGCTTTTGGCTCATGTGTTCATGAGTTGCATTTCTGGCCGGAGATCAGGAGCAAACGAGATTTCTTTAGCCAACACTGGTGCCATTGCTGCATTAGCGGCAGGTTTTGAGTTTAATTTCTCAAAAATCATAATGAATGAAATGATACTAAATATTGAAGGAAGCAAAAGAGACAAATTTTGTATGTATCCAAGATTTTTACAAATCGTCCTTAACGTAACTCACCCCGAGTTGCAGAGAGGAAATGATACTCTGGATTTCAAATCCATTGGTCACAGTGCCTTTGGATTAATGAAGCAAAAGAGAGGCGGAAAATTCGTATTTGAAGGAAAATTTCCATTAATAAAATTTGGAATTTTTAAAGAGGATGTCAGAGAAGAATCAGCAGATCAATCCATGCCGATGGAAAATGAACATATTTCTCTCTTCCCCTCCGAGTCTGAAGTGGAGGAGATTCATCACTCTCCCACAACTTATGTAGCTGATGAGCATGATAATCAGATAGCAAATGATCCAAAATCTTCTCGAGAGGATGATGAAGATGATCTTTATGAAGATGTGGAATTTTTGAAAGAAATCGACTTTACAGGAATCAATGACGACATCCCAACAAACATAGAATTTGATTTTGGTGATGAAGATTTTGATCATTTTCTTAACATTCCCAGCAGCCATGTAAATAAAGTCAATGAAGGTGCTTCTTTAGCAACTAAGACTAGAGATGAAGGAAATGTTCTCAAAATTCTGCTCCTGACCTCAAAGCCCTTGGAAATCACAACAAGCCAAGAAGATGTGACATCAGAGATTCCTCCCTCTGTGTCACCTGTCTCAACATCAACTCCAGTCATTTCTATGTTATCTGAACCTCAGACTTCTCAGACCTCCATAAGAATAAGCCAATCTGTTGAAAGTCTGGAGGTACCCTCTGTAAAATGTGCTCCTCAAGTTATTTCAACAATCACTGCAACCTCTGCTCACTCTCCTCCAAAGCAGACTGACAAAGGTCCAAGTACCATGTTCGATACTGGTGGATCCTCTTCTATTCCAGAATATTCTCCAACTCGACCTTCTCTAGATGAAGCTTCTATCAGATTAGTAAAACATCTGGCTCAATCTAGTCGAACCTCTTCACGCGGGAAAGGAATATCATTTAACGAGGGTCGGACAGATGATGACAAATCCTCTTCATCTGATCTCCGAGAAGAAATTGGAATTCTCCATCAATAGCTCATTGAAAAGGCAATTCAGATGGATCAGCTTTTTGCACATATCTTTGAGCTCACAAAAGATGAAGAAAAGACCAAACAAATCAATGATCTACAAACGAGTCTTGGATATATTCTAGCTAATTATTTCAATCTCAAGAACGTATTGTACGATGCTTTTGGTGAAAAAGTCAAATCCCTCTTCCAACAGCCTCATGGAGTAGTTGATCCTCCTTCTGCTCAATCACCTCCTGCACCTGATGATCTTCCTGTCAACCCTTCTGCTCCAAGAACAACGACAATCGTCAACAGGTTTGAAAAAGAACCTGAAGGAAGCAGAGCCAGAATCACAATCAAGCAGGGAAAAAGAATCGTAACTACAAAACAAAGCGAAGGCCTTTTATTCATGAAAAATTCTAATGAAAATTGCAAAACAAGAGACCCTGTCTTGACAGTAACAGATTTGGAGAAAAGAAAGTTCGGTGATGAGTATGGTGACAGGACAGGCATCCGAATGTGGGCCTTTGATCCAGTGACGAATTTGTGGGTTGTAAAGCAAAAATCAGGAGCATCTGAATGTTACAAAAGCACCCATGATTTCAACTCTTGGACCAAAACTAATCTAGCTGAATTATCCAGGGCCCCATTCCATAACCCCTCTGAAGATCCTAATGCTTCAAATTTCAAAAGATTTCTCGACAGACAGGTCAAAGAGAACTTTCCATCAATGAAGACTGCAAAAGCCCTATATAAAAAGGACAAAGATGTTCTTGATCCAGAAACAGGCGAACCCATGAAGATTATACTCTGGCCTGCAACTAAGAAACAAAAGGAAATTCCTATTCCTCAACATTTTCACGAGGGATATCTAAATGACATGGAATTTTGGGCATATGATGACGAAACAGCTACTGCAACCATCAAATTCAAGAATCGAGAACATGTTCTGAGATTGATTAATGCTAAAGATCTTCTCCGTTTCAGAGAAAGGGATATACGAACTTTGGCCCGTCATCAAATCATTTGCAGAAAGGATGTCATGGAAGCTACTGCTAAATAATTCACTGTTATGGTGGCCACGATCATAAATGGAAGATTATGGATGGGATCGATGGGGAGATATCTGAGGTTGTTTGATAAGCCTACTGAGGAGCCAAAGGAGTGAAACAAGACTATGCTAGTCTCAAACCAAGGGGGGGACTGAAAGAACATAATTTCATGGTTTGAGCTAGGCATCATTTTGTATAAGTGGTAATGTCATTTTTTTACAGTGATTGTGTTTAAACTTGTACTGTGTGCTGCCACACATGTGTGTGCGGCCACACTCATGTGTTCGGCAGCACACTCTTGTGTTGGTAGAAGGAGTACTATTTATAGCAACTGAGTTGTGTCAGTTTGTACTTGTTGCTTTGTTTCAGAACTCTACAGTAGTTGTATTTTTCTCAAGATGTACTTGACATTTACTGAATATAGATGTGTGCATGCTTGATTTTGGTTCTTCTTCTTCTACATCTCTCATTTATTACAATCGACTTCATTGATTATTGAATTGGATCATTAGATTTGGGACTTACACGTACAATAGTGGGCCCCACCCTAGGGTCTATTTCAACCCATTACACAAACTCATATAAATCACATAACAACTATCATACTAAACAACACAATAATGGGTCGGCATTGATGCCTTTGACCCACAGATACAATGAGAAGACTCACTTCACAGATAGATGAGAGACTGAAACAACATGTTGCTCCAAAATCAACTCTACCAGTCACCTTTATAAACACAGTGACCAAAACTTAGAATACGTATCAAAATACCCAGAATACCACTAGGTCAAACTTTAGCCAAAATCCAAGTCAAAGTCAAAAGTCAAAAGTCAACCTAGCTAGCCACCACGTCGTGGTGTAACATCCTAAAATTTATGACAAAAAATTTCATTTTAAATTTAGTTATTATAAAACCATTTTTCTGAAAACAATCATAGTATCAATCATATCAAAAGCCAATGTATCAATAGTCGAGACATGTCATGAATAAACAACATCAGAGTATAAATCCCAAAGATCTCCTGTGCGGAAAATGTAGTGTGATGCACTGCAATCATGCCGACTCCTTTCCCTTCGAAGAGGAAGTACTTGAAACCAAAACTGAAAACTATAAGCATAAAGCTTAGTGAGTTCCCCCCATCATACCACATAATAACATACTGCCAGGCATATTTAGGTGCCCGACCTACCCTGTTAAGCATATCCAGGTGCCCGACCTACCCTGCTAGACATATCTGGGTGCCCGACCCACCCTTCAGTTTATCTCAACTGGTGTAATGCCCGGTTCCCTGGTACACATTTAATTAAGTATTTATTTATTTATTTTGAAAGAAGGACTCGACGAGTTGGTATCCCTGACTCGTCGAGTAGAAGGCAATTTGTGAGCGGGGTTTAAGTGAGCTACTCGACGAGTTGCAACCCTGACTCGACGAGTAGGACAGGCTGGATGCAATCCTAATCTTTAGGGTTTGCATCATATTTAAGCATCATATTTGGCCTCCATTCTAGCCTCCATCACCTCCCAAACGCTAATCTCGAAACCGTAACCTGCCATAAGTGATCTTGAGCTATTTCTTGCCATTTTGAGTGTTATTTGTGCCTTTTGAAGCTTATGGAAGAAGTAGAAGATAGAAGACTCAAGAGGGCAGGAGTAGATCCAGGAACTACACTCCATTTGCTACATTTTCTTGTAATCAAGTTTCTAACTTGATCATTTTTCTCTTAGATCTATATATTTCCATTTTATGAAAGTTTTGATTCAAGAACCTTGGTCCTTAGGGTTGGGACGTCCCAAATGACTTATATCTCAAATCTAGGATCTAGGAAGGGTTCCATGGCATAAAGGTGCAAAATTTATGACCATTGAAGCCCCATGCAAGCATATAATAAAGCTTATGGTATTTTTATCCCTAAAAGACCATGCATGGAAGGAAATCTCGTAACATTATGAGTCCAACAGATGTTAAAACCCTAGATCTAGGTTTGTATGTGTGGATTTGAGATTCTATGGCCTTTTGGACAAGATCCATGTCTTATAGGAATTAGGGTTTTGTCTAAACCCTTTTAGAAAAACCCTTTCCAGTGGGCAAACAAGCTAAGAACCTTGGATCTAGAAGATAGGGGCTTAATCTGTTAAGATGGCCAAACAGACAGAAGGACTCGTCGAGTCCATATGGGATCTCGATGAGTCGTGTCGTGTTGTCCTGATTTCAGTTAGTAGAACTTGACGATTCTATAGAGGGACTCGACGAGTGGATGATCCAAGTCGCGATTGAACAACTCGATAGGACTCGACGAGTCGGTGGAGCGACTCAACGGGTTGAGTCGCAATTTTAGGATTTCTGAGTTATAGAACTCGACGAGTCGAAAGGTTGAATTGGTGAGTTGGTCAACCCAAAATGTTGACTTTGACTAGGGGTAAAATGGTTATTTTACCCTATGAAGAGTTATCAGTTTTTGATTAAGTGTTATTATGGAATTTATAGCCGAAGAGTTGCCAGAGCAGCAGACAGGGATTCCTCACTCAAGTTTTCAGCAGTCAGTTGTACGAGGTGAGTTTCCTTCAGTAGGAACGGGTCTAAGGAACCAAGGCCAGCCCGTAGTATGATATGTTAGTAGCTAAGTGTGGGCGAGGCCTGTATCTCATAGTAGCCGAGTGTGGGCAAGGTCCATATCTCACAATTTAGTTTGATTATGGATATATGTCTGACTGATAGATTTAGTTATACTTGTTGTCTTTGTGATACATGTATGGTTGTTTAGTAGCTGAGTGTGGGCGGGGCCCATATCTTATAGCAGTTGAGTGTGGTCGGCGCCCGTATCTTGAAGTAGCTGAGTGTAGGTGGGGACGGTATCTCAGAGTCAGCCGAGTGTGGGCAGGGCCCGTATCTCCCAACTAGCAAAGTGTGGGCGGGGCCCATATCTCTTAGTTGCATGTTATATGTGTATGGTATGTGGTAGTTTGGGGGAGCTCACTAAGCTTCGTGGTTACGGTTTTCATTTTTGGTTTCAGGTACTTCCACTAGCAAAGGAAAGGGCTCGGGATGATCGCATGGCACACACCACAGACTTTAGCCTGGAAATTTTTCTTTGATATTTTGATATGATGTTTTGAGATACATGATACATTGTTTTCTTTATGATTATGACATTTTGAGACTCATGGTTTATGATATTATACTATGGCGATGATATTATGGTTTTAATAATGATTTGAAAATGAAATTTTTGGACCGTATTTTTGGGATATTGCAAGTTGGTATCAAAGACTTGATTTGATGGATTCGAGCACACTCTCGGGTGTTTCTGGACTCAAACTAAGGGATTGGTATGAAAATTTTTCAAAAGAAAATCATTTTTATAAAAAGTAACTTTGATAAAAAGAAAAGAATTTTTGAAAAGTGAAAAGAATTTGAAAGAGAATAAGGGTGTGGTGCATGCAATCAGTCGAGCTCAAGTAAGTACTCCCAAATTACACATACAAGTTTATGTTATGATATGTTTATCAAATTTATGAGAACAACATGCTAGATTAGGGATAAGGATCTAGGAAGGATGCCTTATGTGCCTGTTATATGTATATCGGCTTTATGAGAAATGCATGCTAGTATAGATCGATCAGTATGATAGCTAGAGTAGTATATGATTGATTATGTGTACTGCATGCTCGAATGTTGATTGCTTTGTACTTTTAGGAATTCTAGCTATCTTTTACTAACTAGTAAATGAATATGTTAAGTTACATATTGCGAGGAATAAATAATTTCAGAAGGTTAGGTCTAGCTCTATTGCGCAGCTCTTGTTTGAGTCCAACCGTTGTAGGGTAGGATCTCTCACTCGAAGAATTATCTAGTTTTAGTGATATGTAATTGTATTCATGAGCTAGTTAGGGGAAGATAGCAGGGGCTTCTTATGCAGCTGATGACAGAGAGTGGGATGGTGATTACCCTAGGGAAAGCCTAGGATGAGAGTAGTGCACAAACCAGTAGCAGTAGAATGGAATTGGTGGATTCGAGTAAGTTATTAAGGAAAGTAAGGATAGATGTGGAAGATAGTATGGGCCCATACTACTGAAGCAGATGATCCGTACTCGAATCAAGGAAGGCTGAGATGAATCCAGGAAACTTGTAGTGTATGAGATCCCTCGAGTTATATTCAGTATTCTGATGTATGTTATGATGTGTTTATTTTCAGAATGGTGGTTTTACGCCCTAGACCAGCAGTCGGCAGTTCAGGTGCCGGTGAGGGATCAGGCTTAGACTCTAGAGCTGAGCAGTTAGACGACCAAACTAGGGAGTTCATCTCCTCAGAGATCACATGCAACATACTACAATAGACTCCTGTGATCTTTAACACGATCAAGGAGGGCATTCTTGAGCTTTTGGATGAGAGGTTGAGTACTAGATGATACAGTGGAGCTCCTGACTACCATGGGGCTCGGGACCCCATTGCGAGTACTAGATGGTTGGCTGATGTCGCCAATGCATTCCACACCAACAGATGCCCTGAGGGGGAGAAGGTTAGGCTTGCATCCTGTCTTCTGAAGGACAAGGCACGTGACTGGTGGGAGGAGGTTGGGAGTGCCATTGGTGATGATACAATGTTGGATGCGATGACTTAGAGTGATTTCACGACCAGGTTCAAGGCCGAATTTTGTGACAACCCGAAATTTTCATTCGGTCAAACACTAAATTCAATCACTTCAATTTATAAGTCAAGTTCATTTTTATTTGTTTTTGGCAAATTTAAAGTTCGTTTGATTATTTTAATAATTAATCTTTAAACGAACGGGTGAAAGGAAGTACCGTCTCGAGTCTTGAAATTTCAAAACCGCAAGTACCATGTAGTTAAGAGATTCACGGCCAAAATTTTATGTTTGGGCCGTAAATCCCTCTAAAATTGTAAACTCATGCCTTAAGCATGAGTTTACTCCCCAAAATACTTTACTTCTTACTTGCAATCTCAAGAGCAAACACCAAACACTCTCAACTACCATCCTGTCTTTCA